ATAGGGAGCGGAAATAATCCGATCGGCCTTGAACGATAAGGGGACTTTCAACGGTCAAAGGTGGCAACCGGCTCATGCGCCGACCCTGTTTCGCACTGTCCTCCAGTTGCTTGGACAGCAATCGACTCTGCAGGGCGAATGCATCAAGGGGCGAGAGCTCTGGGGGCGCTTCGCCAGCAATGTGCATTCGAGGGGATCGGAGCGGTCGTGAAACCGAGGTCTGTGATTTCGACCTGAGGTCAATAAAATCTGGGCGTTGCTGCGTCATGTTGGAAATTTGTAGAGGTTGGCTTCGGTTGACGTGGTTTATAAAATCCCCATGAACAAGATCACTTGTGAATATCCTCACGACGGCCGGTAAGACGTCAAGACCGCTTTGGCGGGGACGACGCCAAATGGTTTCGATCGCAAAGGGCTGTCTGTATCTAGACGTTGAGGTCAACGTATGCCTCAGCCGGCGATAAAATTGGAGTCTCGTGGACTCCGACCATGCGGATCAACTGGGGAATGGGCGCCGAACTTCGAGAATCGGATGGCGGTGCGGGGTGTGTGGGCGGTTCGATCGTTTGTCGGTAAAATCGCCAAGTTCCGGAATGTCGAGGTTCCTCGAGGTTCGTTGAAAGCGCCGGGGTTAGGCGGGTTCGTGGGCAAGCTAGTCTTGTCGTGGGAATGGGCAGCGCATCGAAGGGAAAGAAATGCGGAGCGGTCGCTGCGCCGAGAATGCGCTGCCTTTCGCTAGTGCACAATCAAAACGCGGCGCACAACGAGTGGGCGACAGGCGTCGTGCCAGACACACCGAAAGTCGAATGTGAAGATAAAGAAAACGACCGTAGCAGCTGTGGTGAGGAGGAGAAGGAAAACACAACAGCCCAAGGCGACGACAAGAAATCAAAGGCAAGTCACGTCCAAACCGAGGGGAGGGAGAAACAGGGGAAGCACCCGCCGGGGAAGTGGATAAGCCTCAAGGTCTGGTTGACAGGGGGGAGGGGGGTTGCAGCCACATGATATTCCATGTTCCCCAAGCCCGAAGCAGAGAGCTAGCGCAGGTGCTGTTTCCAAAATTGATAGGCCCTAGCTCAAAACAGGCTAGCGTATCCGTGCCGTTCCTGGCGGAACGGCGCTGTTGTGAAATTCCAGCCACGCCCGCTGCGAAACATGGGGTGCATGGACCCCGACGTTGTGTTCTTTTCATGATGAACCGTTTTCTGCCATTTGCAACGGACCGGCTTGGCGCTTTTGCGGATTCCGAGAACGGCGGACTTTGCGGTGTTCTCCGTCTCTTACACATGCTGTACAGGGGAACTATGCATCATCAAGCCCAGATCCGGCCAATCTCATGGGATTGATTCTCTTTGTTGGCACTGCAATTGTGTCCAACGTGCCCAATTACCAGTTGTGGACCGATTTGTCGATGAGTTTTCCTGCCCAAAGCCAGAGTCTATTTCCGCTATCAAAGCCCGTAACAGCTCATGGGCTGAGTCTTGCAAGAGGCGCATGGGACACGGGCTCCATCTGTGATCATTGTTTATTTTTGTTTTCGAGGCCGTTTTGATACACTAGTGTACTGGTCCTGCTGCTGAATCCCAAGTTCCACCCGCCGATCCCCGCTTTCCATCAAGCTTCTAGGCTTCAAGTGCACAAAGTCCAGATTGTCGATCGACCATGGACGTGAGCCGTTACGAGTTTCGTATGGCTCACCACCCTCCTTTCAGACGGACTAGTGGGGACTAGACGACACATTGCTTCGTTTCTCTTCAATGAAACATTGGGCTGTGGCAAGAACATCGTACTTTCCACATCAACCCGTGACTGCTAAGCCGCACACCGTGGGTCCTGTCCATCTCATCGCTAAATTAGTCTACAGAGAGTTGAGATGAGGACCGGGCGAATGGGAAATGGAGATTCAATAACCCCCCATTAGAAGATTCTAGCTCTATGTAAGGCAAATCAAGGTTTGTACAAAGGGAATTAACTGGATAACCCCAAGTTGCACGCACCAGCTGACGATATTTCAATCCTCTGTACAATTTTGGTGGCTCTGAGTGGGCATTGGGATGGAGCGAATCAGAACGGAACTGCAAGGGTTCTCCACGATTGTTGGCGGAGCGCCGAGCTTTGCAAAGCAAAAGCACGGCCACCATGTCGGTTCTTCGTCGTCATGCTCAAAACCCATTGGGAGGTGGCTTGAAATGAAATTGCCATGTTTTTGACCAATTGTCGACATCGGATGGGTCTCGCCAACAGCGTGTCCGACACAAAATATATCCTGAGACGGTCGGAACTTTTCTACACAGTAATAAGTCGAAACGTCCTCCGTTTGTTCGAAGAGACTTGAGCATGATTGTCCCCCCCCCAAACGGTGGGGCGAGAAAATATTCAGGGTCTGGAGCACGCGAGTTCAGTGGCTCACATGACTGGCAATGCTTTAGGGCGTAATTTAACCAGCCGTCTGTGAGGTTGCATTCCCCTTGCAGGAATAGGAGGAGAACCAGGAATGCATGTCTAGGTGCCAGCACCTTGCAGTTGGTTGCTTTGCTTGGCAGACAGTTCAGCATTGTCTGATGAGACAAATGTCACGGATTAATATTCAAGGTTGGCCAACCTCCAGGCGGGCTTTGTTTTTGCGAAAGAGCTCTGGCACCGGGGCGCAGAACATATTTTATGCCGAAACCGTAACTCCTCCCCTATGCATTCTAAGGAACAATTTGTCTACCCAAAAGGGCCCAAGAGCGAAAACCCGCAACCGCCAACAGACCAGAAGAGAACAACACAAACCCGGTTGGAAACTATGTAACCGCGACTGCACTTGCGTTGGCTTGATTTTATCCTTGCCATCTTTACGCTACCTCAAAGGTCCTTCGATCTCATCTTCTTCAACCTAACGCCTCCCTCGAACAACGCACGGTCGATGGCCGCCGCCACAGTGAGAGTGCCGCCGACGATGGCGCACAGGCCGGCGAGGAAACCAAGGAAGCTCTTGGCCTTCTCCTCCCTGTTAATAACCTTCATGGGCGAGATATCCTAATTATTACAAATCAGCTACCCGCGTCGTTCCCTCGGACCAACATAATACTAGGTGGGTGGGATAGGGCAAAACTCACATATGAGAAGAAAACGCCTGGGATGCCACCGCGGGAGTGCAAACGCTCCTTATGGCCCTCGGCCGAGTCGTCGCCACCCGTCAGGCTACGTTTGTGGCTAGTGACGGAGTACTGGTGAGTCTCGACGCTGCCGTCGGGCGAGGCGCCAAACGCGCCGAGCTCGGCCGAGTGCCGGTCGCGGAAGCCGGACCAAGACTTCTCCCAACCTAGCGGTAGGTACGAAGTGGGGACGATCTTCAGGAAGTACATGAAGTTGTAGTTGACGTCGTCCGTCTGCTGGTTTGTGCCGTCGAGTGGGTTGAGGTGGTGGTTCGTCCATGGCAAGTTCTTGGAGCCTAGCTTCTGGCTCAAGCTATCAGGTAACTGCGGGCCGAAACGCAATTGATGGATGGTGTGTGTGAAGGTGTGCTTGGTGGGTGTGTTCCAGTAATTGTTGAGGTCATGCACATGCATGTTGCCCTTGCTGAAACTGCGCCCAGGAGCGATATGGAAGTTGCCGACAACCTTGTTGACACGGAGTGCACCTTCAATGCGGCACCCTTCATTGCGCTGCTCATCCAGCTTCTCGCTATAGTGTTCGCGCTCACACTGCTCAATGCCTTCGCCCCTGCCGAAGGCCCAGGCGGCTTGAGCGTAAGCCTCCTTGACTTCATCGCACGTGTTACAGCATCCGGCCTTTTGTGCATTTCCGGGTGGTGCGGCGCCATAGCACGGCCCGCAGTAGTCTGGGCTGAGATGGATAGCAGCCTCTGTCGCGTCGTGTCTTGTTGCCGCAGGTTAGTGACTTACTCCAAAAGAACTGTGGTACGTGGGAATGCTGCCAACTTACAGAGTGATTGCCTTGGAGTCGATGTCTCCCCCGCCTTCACTCAATGGTCGAAGCCTTGTCTTGCTCACACCATGATGCACGCCATGTTGTTGCTCGCCGGAGACATCCATCACATCGAGCGTAAGCAGCTCGCAGGGGATTCGGGGAAAAGTGATGTTAAGGTGGATTTCCATGCGCTCGCCTGCGAGAAACGAAGTTCAAAGGTTAGCGTCTCGTGCGTTGAGAATATTGCAGATTTGTCACCACAGTCATACCTCTGCTCTTGTCCACAATCAACTCCGGGTGCACCTCTATCCTGCGGTAGTCCGCCCACTCGCCCCATGCAAGGAAGAACACCACGATCAGCGACACGATGGTCACAACACCACCTGATGTTGTCCTGATGCGCGCATCCTCCACTGTCTTCGTGAAGGCATCTAGCCTTGTAAATCTCGACCTGGTCGCCATAATTTCTCCTCCGCGCGTCGCAAGCGCTGCGATCGAGGTTCGGTACCGGGAAGGGTTCCACGCCGCGGGGCTCCTGTGCAGCAAGAGAATGCACAAACGCGTGGGAAGGCAATGAAAAGAAGGTCTGAGAAACACAAACAATGAGGCGCCGCAAGTAAAATCAGGAATTGGCAAAGAGCGACATCAATTGGGTTGGCATCGGATAAGCGACGGCGCCAACAATGAAGCCGTCCTCGAGGCTTCCATCTGAAGTTCCCCCACGATGCGCTCAGCTCCAACAGCCCAGAAGTTGAGGCCACCTTACACAGTGTCCAAAAGGACGTGTTTCGATTTCCAATTCTAGTTAGCGTCAGGGTCCGCTTTCGGGACCCCAGACTGCCCACCGGCACTCCGAAACCCAACAGGTCTGGCAGGAAAATCTTCGGCAGCGCCTTCTCTCGGGAAAAACAAACTCATAACCTATTTGCGAACAGTCATGTGAAATTTCCGCTATCAAATTTCGCCTGCAGGCTCTCAGGTTACAATCTTGACCACTGTGGTGGTTCCTAGTACCCTCTGTGTTGCAGGAGACCCCTTGTGATAAATGAAACATGAGACTCATATGCTTATGTAATCTCTTCGTAGCCCGCATGGCTTAGTGGTAAAGCGTTTCACTCGTAATGAAAAGATCCTCGGTTCGACTCCGAGTGTGGGCATTTCCTTTTGCGTCAGTAACGGAATTACTTTTTTACTTCTTAAACACTGGGCCAACCTACATTGATCAAAGGAGCCGAGGACACTGGGAACCAACTCGTCTGATTGTCTCCAGTTTGTACATCTCACAACAGACTACTGCGTAGAAGTTATATAGGTATTCTGTAAATACGAGATATTCCCCGTAGGACCGAGTAGCAAAGCAATTGAACCGTCATAAAAAGATCCACGGGTAGCCCCAGACCCGCAGAACATGGGCGCGGCGTCTCCGTCTCAAAATCTTGCCCCCAAAACCTCTTCCATGCTCTCGTGTGAGCCTCACGAACTTCACCAAGGTGTTGAGTTTGGCATCGCGTGGCTCGTGCATCAAGCACGGGCCTCCCTTGTCCACGCTGCGGGGAGTTGTCTTGAACCCCTGTTTCGAAAGTTTCGTGGGGAACCATGGAACTTCCTCGGTTCTTGGCGCCTATCTTCGAGATTCGTCGTTGGTTGAATCAGTCGACTACACACACAATCGAGCAAGGCTTACGATTGTTCCATGCAAGTTGCTAAAATTTAAGCGTTTGCCAATTAATATGGGGCATATAGACATTCAGGACCATCGCTGTAACCGACATCCGTCCCGTACCTCCGAAGTGGCGCTGTCAAACAATTGCTCACGCCCTTGCATCTAAGCATTGTGTTGGCGGTCCATGGAAGATAGCGGGACGTGTTTTGCCCACTCAACCCGGAGGCAAGCGCCAGTCGTTTGAGTGGAGAATATAACAATCAAAACGAAAGCTAATGAGAAGGACATGAATCGGGGATATAAACTGTCAAAGGCCGGCCGGCGAAGTTGAATCCTTCGTCTCTCGTGAATGGTACAACTCCTTCCTCTTCGGGTTCGGCGAGAGTGACTCACGCCATTCCGGATCGATCTTACCGTCCAACTCGAGTCTCGTATTTCACAAACTTCGACATATATCCCACCGACTCCTAACCCACCAACCCCCATTTTACTTTCTCACATCCTAGATTTGCATTCTGGGAGGTAACAGCAGACCAACATGTCCACGATAGAAACAGTCTTCAACCCCCTTGCGTCGGCCCCTGACTCCGTGCCGGGCTCAGTACCCGGGCCGATCCAGGATGCATCATCGGGACCATCGGGGGCAGCGGCAGCGGCAGCAGCAGCAGCAATCCCAGGAGCACCAGCGCCGGAGGAAGCCACAGCGGCGCCCACGTACCCACCCGCCGTCATAACACTGAGCCGCAGTGGCTACATCATCCGCCCCATGGTACCCGCTGATGCCGCGTCGATGCAAGTGGCCTGTGACTCGCCCGCCATGGCGCAGTACATGTCATACCGCTTCTCGTCCCCCTACACGCTCGAGGCCGCACACCACTGGATCGGCTTTGCGTCGGCCTTCCGCGTGCCTGGCCCGGCCGGCGAGACCATCGCTACGGCGGGTGACGTAGCCCCCATCATGGTTATTAGCGACCCCAAGACCCATGCTGTCGTGGGCGGCATCGGGGTCAAAACGAAGGAGGACGTTGAGCAGTTTAGTTTTGAGGTCGGGTACTGGACTGCGGAGCCGATTTGGGGTAAAGGTGTCATGACCGAGGCCTGTCAGGCTTATTGCAAGTGGGTGTTTGAGACGTACCCCAAGGTGATCAGGTTGTCGGCGGAGGTTTTTGGTGGGAATGATGCGAGCATCAGGGTGCTGGAGAAGTCTGGTTTTGTGCGTGAGGGCTTGAAGAGAAACGGCGGTGTCAAGCACGGCCGAGTGTTTGACGTTCATCTCTTCGGTTTGTTGAGGGAGGAGTGTACCTGGTAGCTCGGTTAGGGAAAGGGGGTGGATGGCCTAGACGTTTGGAATGCGACGGGAGTTCACTGGAATCGTCGCTCGGGAATCGCCACTGGGATTGTCATTTTAGTTTTAATCATGTCCTTTCCTACTTATCGCCATGTTTCTGAAAAAGCTGCCTAATTCTTAAGCCCCAAAGACAAAGCTGTTTTGATACCCCTTCCCTTAACCAAAATGCATCGTCTTAGGCCTTCAACCTCGCATTGCTTGCAATATCGTCTTGCGCGTCCTTGACCAGGAAACTAATAGACAGCCTGTTGTTAGCACAGTCTCATTCAAGCCCAGTTTAGACAATATACTTACTGGTAAAATAACACGGCCGGCGCAATCGTCCCTAGATGCCATAGACTATGCGCATCCAAACTCCCCCAGAGCGGCGGAAAATCAAACAACTCCAGACTCATCGCCATAATCACCCACATCACCACCACACCAGGCCAAATCGCCCACGACTGCGACGTCTGTCGATACCTCGTCCAGCTGAACCAGCTCCACAGCAGGTTCTGGACAACACCACACACCACACACGCCAGTGTGTTATACGTGTAATCCCACCGCCAAAGCCCCAAGTACGCAACATGGCAGGCATACATTGTGCCGCACAGGCCCGTCCACAACCTAAGCCCATTCCGCTTCCCCGGCCGGTCCAGCCGCCAGATGCGCACGATAGCATAGTACATGCCGTACAGCACCGACGCGCCGGCACCAAAATAATCCAACCGCTCCGTCAGTTTGAAATCACGGGTATGAAACACGGCACTCAAAAACCAAGTGACCATGCCGAGGCGGGCGAGGAAAACGTAGAACGGTCGCATGGTGTATCGCTCGGGGATGCGCGGCAGCACGTGGTTGTGTAGGCCGTAGTAATGCGCCGCCCAGTTCCCCAGCGAGAAGACCACGCTCAGCGGCTCCTGCATGCCCAGCAGCCGGTAGAACGGCCACTTGCCGTGGAACTGGACCACCGGCTGGGGCGGGTCGCGGGTCTGGCGCTCTGCCGTGACAATGTGTTGGCATGTGTAGTCGCATTCGGCCGGACAGGTCCAGAGGAGGAGACGGCGATGAAGAGCTGTGTTGGGGCGAAGGCGGGAGCGTTAGTTGGAAAGGGGGGAGGTTAAGGTTCGAACGAGGGAAAAGGCGTACATACGGATTTCGGTCTGGTGTTCGACATCGGGGCCACAGTTTTCGCGTTCGCATATCTGGTAGCATCAAAAAAGGACGCACTGTCAGTCGCACAATAAAAAATGCCAAACTGTTGCTACTAGCGAATGGACTTGGTGGACCGGGAACACGAACCTCGACACACTCGCGGAACTCTGGCAGCCGGTCGCCAGTCGATGCCGCAGTCGGGCTCACAAGTAGAAGGGCAACTACAACAACAATAAGGAACAGTGGCAGCTGGGCAAAATGCCCGCGCCTCCCCCTAAGGTTCATCATGGTGATAGCATTGGTTTGTGGGCCAAACTTTCCAAGCCTTCGGGAAGTCGTGCTGGTAGAAGTCAAGCTGTTTGAAAAAAGGGATGAGGGAACGCGCTGGTCAAATAGGTACGATCAGCTTAAAGGTTGCTCTGGCTGGGTGCCCCACAATAACTGCCGGCCGGGCTTTGACCCGACCCCGAAGCCGCCCGCTCGGACGACTTCGAGGTCACTAAACTGCAAGTTCGGGAATGAGTGTCCAGGAGGATACGGTTAAAGGAAGTTAAACAAAAAAAAAAAACTTTGCACAGGCATTCGCAATCGCTAAACATTGGGGTAAGAGGGTAAGTATTCAAGGCAGACCTTCAGTTCAACCCCCCCAAAGCAATACTCGCAACAGCAATCAATAACAAATCACCAAGCAATAAACAGTAAGTGGCACCAAAGAATGTATTCTTGACTCCAGACTAACAAGCAGCTAGACGGAGTAGCCAGTAAGTAAGTAGTAGATCATGAATATGTAATAATACCTCATCAAGCGTCATCATGCCCACCCATCTGATCCATCATCATCCATCATTCCATCCATCCGTCAACATTCGATCGTCATCAATGACCAAATAACCACTCCAAATCCTCCCTTTCCCTCTTTCCTAACCAAGCATGATGAAGCCGGGGATGTGTGTGCGCGAGTTTTTATCTTCAGATCCAACTCCCATCTATGCAGAGCCGAGCCGCATGAAACGGCCGACTTGGGTTTGAAAGGAAAACAAAGTAGGCAAAAAATAGAAGAGATAAAATAAATAAATATATGCTGAGCCGGCCTCGTAAGTGAGGCGTCGGAAGCAACCAAGAAGAGAAAGTAAATAGACAATATGCCCGCCCCATATAATTAGGTATGGCGGAGATATCAGAGAAGGGTAATGATAAAAGAACAAAAAAAAACAGCAAAGGAAATAGTCTGAGGCGGTGGTTCCGGCCGTGCTGGTTCGTTTGTAATGAGTCGTTAACTTTTGGTTCATGACGCCCCCACAATGCTATGGGTCTCGGCGTTGTCGTTGAGCATACAGTAAAAGGAAAAAGAAAAGGAAACATCAGTGAGCGATGGGTAGATAGTTGGTGCAGTTGGTGCGGTGTTTTCGAAGACACAAAGGGAACACAAAAAACATCGCCAAGACATAGCCCGCCGAAACTGCCCACTGAGTGGGATATAATGAAGAAGAAGCAAGAACATGAGTAAAGCAGGTAAGTAAAGGAGAAGAGACGAAAAAGAACCAGCAGACGCCCACCGTGATATGAACAATGCTCCTAAATGATATATGTTCAATCCAAGCAGCGAGGGTATTTCCGTCCCAAAAAGTTCTTGTCATGAACATCATGTCATCCATCAATCCGCTAAAAAAGCACCTGGTTTGACGTATCCGTCATTTCGTTTCCAACGTCGTCATATCGTAAAGAGAGATGAAAAGAGACGCCGCAATATCCAAAAACGGTCCCCGGGTGGTCGGGAAACACGTCCATGGGCGGCGGGGGGTGGGTGGTGCCAACTTGCTGTGTCGATCCAAGATCAATTAGAGCTTGTTTGGCGTGGCGACTTGTATAAGGAGAAGAGAGGTTTATTGTCATGTTTGCGAGCGAGTGCTGCACATTTTTGGCTGTGACCGTTGCGGTATTACAAACCACCATCGGAACGGGGGTTGGCCTCGCGCTGGCGGAGCTCCTTGAGGCGTTGATCGATGTAG